CATTTGGCCATACCACACATGAGCTGCAATGAGCTTTACCTGAAATCACTTGCTCAGTCACAAATAGACATGTGGTCTGACATATATTCTAAAATATATCCCTCCCTGCCCTAATAAATTCATTAGTTTAATTATTTAAATTCTTCTTGGAAAAATATCTAAACATCCTTTCAAGATGTTCTTTCCGTATGTTGGGTCCTGCCAGTGATGGAATTTTAATCTGGTTCTTGCATTTGTGATTCACCTTAGTAAATGAATAGGAGTATCTTAATGTTATATTAAGGCATTGATAAACTTACTAGCTTTAACAACTGGAGGAAAATCTACTTCTCTAGATTTTAGTACTGGCCTGAGAGACTAAGTAAAAATATATATTCTAGGGCTCCTGGGTGGCTCAGTTGGTTAAGCGACTGCCTTCGGCTCAGGTCATGATCCTGGAGTCCCGGGATCGAGTCCCTCATCGGGTTCCCTGCTCAGCAGGGAGTCTGCTTCTCCCTCTGACCCTCCTCCCTCTCATGCTCTATCATTCTCTCTCTCTCAATAAGTAAATAAAAATCTTAAAAAAAAATCTAAAAAATATATATATATTCTAAAAATCCTCTGTTTATATTTGTTGTTAGTCATGAGAACTGCTAATGTCTCCTTTTTGTTGTTGATAACCATCTTTCAGGATACCACACTGATATATGGGTGTGGATAGCTGAGTTGATTAACGGGTTTTCCCAATATGGTTACATGAAATATTAGTGACAAAGATATTCTTTATTAAGGGATTTACTAAAACTTTGCATGCCTGCTACTCCTATTTATACTACAGTCTGGTAAAGGCAATATCTATTGGCACAGAATTTAATATTTAAATGTTTACCTTTTATTGCTTGGTAAGTCCTCTTACTCTACAGAGACCAGCACTCTTCTGGTTGTTCCTCCATTTGAATAATCACTAAGTGCAGGAAATTGGTTTTGTCTCCAAGATAGCAAGATAATTTAACTGTTAGTAAAAGAGGGAAGGTAATTCAAGGTTAGACTTTGTTGCTGTATTTGAGGTTCTGTGGTTGCTTGTCCTCATGATAATGACATGGGCTAATTCCCAGACAGTAAAACAAGTTTTGCCTCCAAAGAAACTTGTTTCTTGATAGTTTTCCAGTGCTCTCAGTGCACTGGAAATGCATGTGTCTATCCAGTAAGCAAAAGAAGGCAAAACAAAGAAAACAAAATAAAAACAAGTTGTCTTTCCTCACAACTCTGATTCTTTACATCTTACCTGCATTTCAGTCTTGCTCCATTCATTCCAAGGACAGCAGGAACAATTTCAAGAACTCAGAGCAATTAGTAAGCATAAAATAATAATATGATTGAGCAAAAAATGTGCTGGTGGCTTTATGTATTCTCAGTCCTCACATCAAACCTGCAAATTCAACATTTCCCCCAAATGCATACATGAGGAAATTATTCCTTAACTACCCATTATATGCTTTTGAGAGCACTGAAAAAAATATTAAGAGACAAGCAATCTCAGAAGGCAAACTTATTTCCTGTCATCCAGGAAATTTAAACATTAAACATTAAAAACAATGTTTAAAACAGGGATATATTTCAAATAACAATGTATGAGGATGAAGTCTATGGTATAGTCTTTAAGGGATAAGGTGTACCTTCAAATATTACTTTGTATATTTAATTTAATTTTCTATCAAATAAGATATTGAAGGTTGTAATTTAGTAGAAAAGAAAAATGTTTTCTATGTCACTTCTGTCATATTTCAATTTTTTTTAAGATTTTATTTATTTATTTGTCAGAGAGAGAGAGAGAGAGAGCACAATCGGGGGGGGGGGGAGCAGCAGAGGGAGAGGGAGAAGCAGACTCCCCACTGAGCAAGGAGCCTCATGTGGGACTCGATCCCGGGACCCCGGGACCATGACCCGAGCTGAAGGCAGACGCTTAACTGACTGAGCCACCCAGGCACCCTCATATTTGAATTTTTAAAATTTCCTTTCGTTACTTTAGATTGATAAGGTGCTAAGGCTACCCACCATGCTCTATTTATATAACACAAGGGTTTTTGTTCTATATACATAGAATAAGATGACTTATAACAGAGTTTCCTATACCTCTATGATGATTATGGACCAGTGTTTGAATCTGATATACACTATTTATACCTGATTGTCATTCAGTGGTGACTTAAGAGTCAGTGTTTACAAAGCTTTCTGGATTTTGGCCATAGTGGTTTTCTACTGTTGATGCTGAGTGTCCTGTCCACTTTGTATTTGGTCAGTTTTACATCACCATGGTGACCAACTTAGTCTCCTCCAAGGAGCGTTAGCATCTTATGTAGGGCTATTTGGTACAGATTTCTTTTCTCTATCATACCCAAAATGATCAGACTCTCAGAATTCTGTGGTGTCAACAGCTTAAGTAGTTTGTGTAAGACAAAAACAAACTCAAGAGACTATACTCTCTCGGTGTTTAAGATTATTTAAGCAAGTATTTGTTTTTCCCTGCAGTTTTTGAGTATTGGATGTAAAGATGCACTGTGGATCAAATTAATACTTTAGGTTTTGTTTTTTATATCCACGTAGAGTATGATTGTCCACAGCAGTTTTAATAAAAAATGTTATTGATGGCTTGCTGGTTTCATACTCTTAACATGACACTGATATGCTTGATTTTCCACTGTTTTGTGGAAAGATCCATTGCAAGTTTCCATTGAGAATTATTCTTGGTTAATTCTTGATGATGTCAAAGATATCTTAATTAACAAATAACAATGATATTAAGAATGGTAAACTCAAGGTGACCCATAATCTCAGTGACAGTTATCAGACAAAAACAAACTTTGACTATAAAATGGCAGGTCCCATAGATTTTCTGATATTTTTCAATTAAAAAGAATTATTCACTTCTCAATCATTTAGAAAAAATTGACTTTCATGATAAATGGCATAATATAAAAGAGATCTTGAAGAAAAATCACAATTTATTTTTTTATTATTCCAACTCATTTGTTTTAAAGGGTAATGCATAAATCAATATGTATTTTTATAACATGCTATTTTTTCATTATCCATTTAAAATTTATATATTTTATAGTCTTTTTATTTGTGTAGTTTTCTCTTTGCTGACACCATAAACGATGTGGTGGCCAGTAGCTTAGCACCCATGAGTAACCTAGCAACAAGTCAGCTCTCTAACAAGTAAGAAATAAATGCAAACAAAGTGTTATGGGAAAAAGAGTTCAATTTCAGAATATTAGTGAATGTATATTGTTAAGTATCAAGATGAACTCTTCTAATTTGGGGGAAATTGCATTACAATATAGGTATTGAATTTTCTAGTAAGTAATACATTGCCAGTGAAATCTTGTCTCCTTCATTCAGAAAACAAATGGAGTCTATTTCAGACTGCAGCACTGTTGACTAGGTAACTCTGAACATACGTGTCTTCCCTGGAAGCCTATTCATTACAGATTAGATGAGAGGAGTATCTTGGCATGTTTTCACCAAGTGGTAGGTGAATTTACTAGATGGAGTTTCGAAAGTAAACCTTCCTGACAGTGAGGTGTTGTTGATCTCTTAAACAGTTTTAGAATAAATGTTTTATTTTATTTTCAAAGGGTTGTGCTTAGAGTTCTAAGCTTTTCGGGACATCATTTTCTTGGAAATACTACAAATGAATCCACCTTGTCTTTTCATACATTAAGACTTTGGTATATTTAATATCAGTCTCTTTTGGTGAAATTTAATTTATATAATTACTGTTTGTTTTCACTGAGAAAATAGCTCTCCTCTGTGTTAGTGGTCAGGTCATAGCGGAAGTATATCAGGTATCGGGGAAAAGCTGTAGCTTCATAGGATCATCATTTGTATGATGAATAGACCCAGGTGGCAAGGTTAAATACATACTGGTGAATACCTTCCACTAAATAGCACAGCTTCTATTCTGTGTGACAGGCAGAATTAATTGGCCTTTCTCAATTTGACAGGCAGTTCACTGCACTTTAAGAAATCTTAGTACCCCATGGAAGATTGAGGTAAGGGACAGAAGGATGGGATATGAGCTGAACATATGATTGTGCATTTAAAATGAATGCATAGAATTGTAGAACTGGAAAGCATCTGCTCTCTGGTGAAAATTTTTTTTCCCCAAATACCCTGAGTTTTAGGTTACTTTGAAATTCTGACCTTAAATGACTGAATTGTTGCTATAATCACGATTGGGATGTGAGCTCAACTCAGACATCTTTCTCTCACTATCCACACAGGATCTCCCTTCTCTGGGGAAGAGGAGAATAAAAATCATGAGATCCTTAAAGAGAGACCCAAACATACTTAGCAAGATAGTCTGATTCGTTTATATATGAGAATTTTGGTCACTTACATTATTTGGATTGAAGTGAGTCACCTTAAATAAATGGAAGACTATTCTTTACATGAGAAACACTTACCTACCCTTCAAGACATCTAACTACAATTGAATAGATCAATCACATGAAATTTATACTCAAAATGTCATGACAGAATAATATGGTCTGTATTGTTGATGCTACTCATGATGACAACAGCCCTTGGTTAGTTGTTCAGGAAAGTGACATTTTAGATGTGGTATATGCACATTAACTACCCCTTCCAGCATAGATGTCTCATTGGGGTTATTGTTGAAAAGGTATCATCCCTTATTTGGGGAAGTTAAGTTCCTAAAGGGCAGGGGTCATATTTTATTTGTTATCTTACCCAGTATTGAGTATAGTTCCTTATAAACAATAAGCTTGCAACAAATGACTAACCTTTTTCTTTTCAGTTAGTTTTTGTAGGTGTGCTAGAAAGATCCACAACGATCCCCAAAATTATATTAAACTACAGAATGTATGTTAAAAAGAGATAAAACACTTAAATAATATATGCCCTTGTAGAGGAAATGAAGTTTAAAGATCCACTAGTTACTGTAAAGTTATTGTTCAGTTTTGAGGTCGGTCTAAAAGGAACTGTCCTTATTGCAGGTTTGGTTACAAAAGTACGGCTACCTTCCACCAACTGACCCCAGAATGTCGGTGCTGCGCTCCGCGGAGACCATGCAGGCCGCCTTAGCTGCCATGCAGCAGTTCTACGGCATTAACATGACAGGAAAAGTGGACAGAAACACAATTGAGTAAGTAGTGGGCATCCACGATCTTTCTTTTTGTGGTCCTTGAGCTGAAAAAGTTTAAGTGAGCTCCGCCAACCATGAGTGGAGCAATTTGTCTCCTGTCCCTTTCCTTTGGAATTTAACCTCTTTCAACCCTACTCCACTAGGATGTCAGGTCTGTCAGAGTCAAATTTACTCACTTGATTTTAGCGGCACTTTTTCAAAATGGGGGGGAGAAGGAACAATGAGAGTCGGAGTAAATGGCTGAAGCTGTTTTAGGAAGAGCTACGTCAGTGATGTGTTGGAGCTGGCTTGTTCTGCTGGTGCGGACATATTGGGCACGTTTCTTCCCTGTTAAGTGACATGATATCAGTAGCTTGAAATTGGCCAGAGTAGAAATATTGACACTAAGGAAAATGGGAAACAATACAAATCAGGGCTCTTTCTGGGGGGACAAGGGTATTAGAGAGTCAGCTAACAGTTTAGTAGCCTCCTATTTGTGGTAATTTTCCACATGAGTTAAATCAAGGAGAGGTTCCTGCAAGTCTCTCCTTCCAATTTTTTATTAGCAAATGGCTTGTTTTGACTCTTTAATAATATTTGTGATTTTATGGATTGATTCATCAATCATTTGTTCATTTATTTATTCAACCAGTAACTCATTACTGGGCATTGCATCTGTGAAAGAGGCATATAACAGATCAGAAGACAGAGTCTCTTCTTCAGAGGAACTTCAAGTTAACTGTGTAGCTAGACATAATCACAAATTATTTTACCACAGGTACACTGTAGGTTCTGTAACATTATGAAACAGCATTATTGTTTTTGGACAGCAAAGGAGGATGTGATTAATTCTGTCAGTGCAGGGAAGAATCATCTGTGTTTATTGAGTCCTTGATACTCACAAAGTAAATCTACTTCATTTGATATGATCATCATACATCAACCCTCCACAGTAGGGAAGACAAGGATATATTTTGCTCTCTACACTGTCAAATAAAGAAACTAAAAGTCAAAGGCTAAGTGAAGTCCAGAGTAGTTGCAGAATCCAGATCTTTTGGTGTTTAGTCAAAGAACTTTCTACTATACCATGTTGTGAACCTCAAGAAATGACACATTTATTTTTCTTTTTAAACCTTGAATACCTGAAATTACTTGACTCAGGTATATATAATTTTTACATATTAAACTAACTTAAATATAATTTAAATACTATATTTTGCCTTCTAATACTTACAGCATGGTATTAGTCATACTGTTCCTATTTCATGAAGACAGGACGAGTACCTAATAAAAGGCTTGAAGATTAAACGTCAAAGCAGTTTTGAAAAATAAATATAATTACCTCTCCTACCATTTTTAAAAGATACATAAATATTAACTTTGGTATACCATTTGGGAAAATAGAACCAAGAATGAATATAATGCATTTTGCAAGAATGAGAAACTTGTTATTAATATTGGGACTAGGACTTGGATATTTTGAATCTGCTGCCCTCTATTCGTTGCAATTCTCTGTTAATAGTGTCCTAAATAAATACAGTTTTAAATTCATTTTAATTACAATTATAAATTAATTTTAAATATAGCTTATTAAGTTAATAAGCAAACCCAACAAATCCTACATTTTGTTGCTGCATATAGTACAGAATTCCATTTAAATCATACTTTTAATCCCAACATTTTCCAGAGTGCTCTGAACAGCTTTTATGCTCCCTAGTGCAGAGCTGTTATCTTCTGATTGACTTTCTTGGACCGTATGACACAGTTTTTAAAAATACAATAAATTGAGAGCTTGGGAAACAAATTCCTTTGAATCTGCTTATTACCAGCTATTAAAATTCAGAAAGCAGAGTTCTATAGACGGTGGCATCTGTGTTTCCTGTCCATTTTGAGAGCTCCTGCTGGCCATTGGAAGGACTCAAGATGGATAGGTTTGATTTCCCAAGATAGCTGGAAAAAGGTCTTTGTCAGGAGATGATGGGAGAGGAATGTGCGCAGGATTTATTTAGGCCGCTTATGTGGAAAGGGTCTGAACAGTTTTTAGTTGTTCTCTGGCAGGACAATGTCAAATGCAGAGGTGCAGAAAAAGACCCTGTGTCCTATTCTGCCACACAGTGGCTCAGATTCCAGCCCAGGAGAAATGATTGTGTCAGTGTGTAGGAGTTAAAGTAGCATTTCTGTGAGTTATAGCATTGTAGAGAGAAGAGCAGCTGTATAGGACCCTTTAATTTAAAACCAACCAGTGTTTTGATCTGTTTTCTTTAACCAAACTTTGTTCTAATTCAGTTTTTTTTTTTTTTCCTTTCCTTTCTTCTTCCTCTTTTCTAACTGGAAATGCTTCTTTTCCTTTACATACACTGTTATTCTTAGATGAGCCCACTAAAGCCCGGTTCAACCCTCATCGGCCCTTCCTAGATTGCCCTGCTTCTTCTGTCCCCTATGGCACCCACGTTGTCACTCACACTAGAAGCCCTGTGGCTTCACTGGCCTGCTGTCTGGGTTTTTCCACTGATGTATCCTCAGTCTTGAGGTGGTGTTACGCAGGGTACTCAGCTCAAATAGTGTCCTGTTTTTGGAAGTATAATCCCCATAATCATGCTACTTAAGGAATTGTCTGTGCTTTTGTAATCCCAAATGAATGTGTCGTAACAATCCATGCTGAAGTTGTACTCTATTATTTTACATAGTCAAATTATAAAGTATGAATTTTTATCTAAACCTTATCACATAAAATATGGACTACAATTATAGACCTAAAATTACTCCTCAGTATTAAAATAATGTCTTAAGATTCATTTTCATATGCTGCTATAAACTCTTATCTAATTGTAGGCTCTTGTCAAGATCAGTTGTTTTTAAATTAAATAATTATGTCCTCCTTTGTCAGACAGACATTTGATGCATTCAGTCTGTAATTCTTGGGTAATTAAAAGTAATGATGCAGTTGTGGTGATCCCTATATTATGTTTAAGAAATTAACCATTTTCCAGCAACAAATTTAGGTATTACCTTAAATGGCTTACTATATTGCTTTCATATCAGTTAGCACTGGTGTTGGAGAGATAGTAATGCATACTTATCCCCCTCCCCTAAAACGAGCTCATTATCATATGTTGCAATGGTTCTTCAAAATTATGGGTTGCTTAGCTAATTTTTATAAGCAAGCTTACTTAAATTCCTTAATAAGTGAAGCAATTTATGTTGTGCATGAAAAAGGATTATTTTAGCATGGAGGGAAAAAGATAGCAAGGCAATAATGAAATGAGTCTAATGTGTTTTTACAATATTAATATATATATTAATGGTAGGTATTTTAAAATTTTAATTCATCTTTTATGTGTGTATATTATCATGCATTGAAGCATGCTTGTTGAGATATCATTTTTAAGGTGATCTTTCTTTTTTATCTCCCTCCATGTATGTGTGTACACACATGAATATGCAAATATACACATATATTCATACATATGTAGGATGATCTGAGTAATTCTGCTTAATTTATTTAATTTATCTTAATTAAAATTAATTTAAGACTGAATGTGTAGCTTTTTTCAAATAATTATTATGAAACCACAGTGGTATTTGAATTCTCCTAATTTGAGAATTGAAATATTTATTTAGCTATATCAAGAACCATAAGCTTCGGGGCTTAATTTTCAATAGGTTTCGTGATTTTCAGTCATTTGTCTAAATTATCGAGTTAAGACTCTTTTTCAATATAGGTATAAAAGATAAGTTCATCAGTAATTAAATTTCTTTTTAGTTCTGATTATAGCAATGGGACTGCAACACTATAGGATTACGTTATAGGATGGATCAATCCTTATTTTGGTAACTATGGAAGGATGGCTGATAGCTAAATCATCCTCATTCCCCTTCTGGAAGGTGAAAGGTGAAAGCTTAAATGAGAGCTGACACTAACTGAGCTTTTTCTTCACATTGCGCATCATGGAGGCTTATTACATCTATTCTCTGTGATCAGGCTTTCAAGTACACTAACTGCAGTTTCAGCTTTGTGAATAACCTGTGTCCATGAAAGTAGTTCATGAGTTGATCGAAAAAAGAAACTCTGGACCAGAGTGAGCTGTCAGCCTAACGTCAACATTTTGAGCACTAAGTTAATTCACTTTTAGAAAATCTTCTTCACGACTCTTGCACTTGGCTCTATGAGTACAAACAAAACCGAAGGATTTTTAAAGTCATAAAAATTAGCATTTTTAAAACTTTGTAAAATGATCTTTGGGGGACAACTATAAATAGTAGATATTACTCTTACCTTCCATTAGAACATGGAAAAGTCTGGAGGATAGAAACCTCTTAATTATGCAGATGAACATTTTCTTACATTACTAATCATAAGGCACAAGATATAATTTTGTGAGTTTTTTTTTCTCGCGGTAAAGGTAGGCATATGAACCCAGAGCCACTGTGTGGTACCACTCCAACTCCAGGGGGCACCGTTTCGATTGTACACATTTTATTGAAATGCTGTCTTCCTTCAGCCCCACTACTGGGGCACCAGGTGTGTAGACTCAACCTGAAGGCTTCCTTTACAGCCATGCGATGAGAGGCCTGATATGTTTGACTCGAATACCCAACTCTTTAAAAAAAAAGTTACTGAAACCAACGGACACTGTTTCATACATAGTGGCTCTAATTACTGCAAATTTGTTTAGAAGTTTGTGGCTGCTTTATTCACATAAAACAGAGGATTGTGTCTCTGGTGCTATCTGTATTATGAAAACACCAGGCTATCCCTGTTTTAAATAACAAGGGATGTTAACACATAGGTCAAGGTGACCTGAAACATGCTAATATCAGTATGTTGCTATTGTTGCAGCTTCTACTACGAGTCCAGCTGCTTCCTGATGTTTGTAAAATAATAATAATTATTATAAATTAAAAACCATAGCAGGTGCTATTTGCCAGGCACTGTGCTAAGTGTTTCACGTGACTTAACTAATTTAATCCTCACATTAATTCAATAATAGTCTCACTTCCACTTTGTACATGAGGAAACGGAGAAATAGAAAGAAACAGTAGTCAGACCAATGTCCCAGGCTGGAGAGGTGGTGGAGGTGGGGCTGGAGCCCTAGCATTCTGGCTCTAGGATCCCTGCTCCTAACGTTTACAATGTCACTCCTGTCAAGAACACTGATCTCAGATGTTTTTCCTTTCTCAGTTAAGTTAATTTAAGGAAACCATTAATGCTCTGCCCAGCTAATCTGAAAATGCCATGGGTTCTGAACAATTAAATCAATACTGAATATCAGTATTGCATTTATGCAAAGGGAGGGAGTGCCGTGATTTACACCTTGAAAGTACAAAAGGACTTTCTTGTAGCTCCCTCCCAGCACCAGTGCCGGTTCCCACGTCTTTGTTTGCTTTGGAATGTCAACTTAAAATTCTTAGCAAATGAGTCAGTAATGAAGCACATGTATATGAGCTGCTGTGTATTGACACACAGAAAAATAAGTATGTTTTAGCAGTGGAACTTTCACAAAAGAAGCACTGCTTGAAAATAGCCCGCACACATGCACACACACACAATCTCTTTAACCCATGTTTCTTTCAGGTGATACAGTTGTTACCTGAGGTGAAACAATCAATCAATTCTACTTGTACGCGGAGAGTTTTGCACTCTCGTGTACAAGTATATATGGGTTTTATCAAATTCATATATGAATGCAACTAATATTTGGTGTATGATAACGAAATAAATCCCAGGGTCAGACTCTACCTGAATAACAATATTAACATGCCAACTTTACCTTTAGTATTAGACATTTAATTCATTGATGAGTCCTGTTAAACACTAATCATTTTTATCCACCAAGAACTTCAAAAATTGTAGTAGAAAGAACTTGACTCCTTATGAAATTAAAGAATGATTTAAATGTTTCGAGTCACATAAAAGGCCCAAAGGCCAATTTAGCTCAGATACCATGTGTCATATTCAGTGGCATGATGTGCTTCTATCATATTTTGGGGATTTTGCATAATTTGATAAATAATTTCTGCTAATATATCTATGTCAGAATATTTGTATATAAATATTGGCAAAGTTAACATAGAGTGTTCTCAACTCGACCAACCCTTATTAAGAGTTTTTTGCATTAAATTACTGATCGATATTAGATTATTCCTGTTCTTATGTTTATTTCTTACACTTAAGTCATCTGCTTTATGATTTAGTTTTACATAAAAATGTCTACATGGTGTCCATGCAATAAGCATTTGTTCAAGGCACACACCTGGGAAGAGTTACAAAGTCTTCAAGAAACGTGGACAGTAAGGGGGATCAGCATGTACAAAAGAGACATGCAGACTCAATTCATTTGCTTCATTTTCTTATTGAAGACTTCCCTGGGCATAGGCCCCATTATTCCTGGCTCTCTGCCGTGACTCAGGCCAGTGGAAGACAGAGACACAAATCGGAACACATAGTATAATCTGTGCCATGTTGGGATGGTAAACTGTTGAATAATGAAGGATGTTTAGGATTCTCAGTGTGAGAAAAGAGGAAGTTATGCCAGACAGAGGTCACTGCATACAAAGGCAGAAAGAGGTTTAGTTCTGTAGGAACCTGAGTGGATCTTAGAAAGTAGAGGGGGGTGGCAGGGGATCCTCCTTAAGTAAGCCTGAGTCAGATTCTTTCTATATAAGCATTTTCATGCCCAGAATATATAGAGAACACATCTGTGTTCTGGAAAGATTTGTCTTTAGGAATGAGAAGGACGCCATTAGTGAGAGAGAGAAGAGAAATTTTGGAGGCAAAAAAGACTGCATCCTGCTTGATTAGATGTGAGGAAAGAGCAGTGGAGAATATTACCTGGGTATCTAACTTCGGCATTAGAAGGATGTTAAGACTCTTGGCTGAAATAAAGCATCAGAGGAATTGTTACAAATCTGGGTAGGAAAATCAAAAATTTTTTACATGTAAATTAGAAATAATGACAGGGTATCTTGACAAAGGTATGACAGCATTTAAGCCATTATATAGTAATTTTTTTTAATCATGCATGTCTTGCCTATAGACTGTGAACTCAAAAAGGGCTTCTTGCCTTGTTTATCTTTCCAGTCACACTTTTTTGTTATATCTCTTAATATGTTATAAAAGCTGAAAAATATTACAAGATGAATGAATAAGGATTTTTTGAGTAAATAAAGATGAGATTTTGCATATTGAGGAAGTTGGAACATAAGAAAAAATACATATTTAATGGGCAAAAGCCTAAGAAATACATAAAGAATTCAGTAGAGATATCTTTCAGCATAAGAATCTAATACTCATCCATATAAACCCTATCCTTTGGAAGATGCAGTGCTTCACTGGAAAAATTTTTACTAGATCCAACATATGCATGACTTAAAATGGAAATTTATATTAATAAATTTAATTTCCTTTTCAATTGCTACCTTCCTCTTTTAATTTTATTGATTATTAAAATAATTTTAGACAGTATGTCCTCATTAGCAATACATTTTATCCTGATAATAGGTAATTGCATTTTGTCAAATTTCATCCCACTATCCATTTCCAAATTATTTCTCTTCCCAGAATGCTAACTTAAATATTTTTCTTAGCAAAATGTAAGTGTAACTACTTCCCACACTTAGTAAATTTATTATTTTTAATAATTATATATTATTTATTCTCTTAGTGCTTTTAATGAAATAAAGAAGCATAAAAACCTGCCTTAGGAATATTACAATTTTTGCTGAGAATATAATTAATGAAATACCCATATGTAAAAGCCACTTAAATCATAATAACCTCTCCAGTGCTTAATATTTGCTAGTTAAATCTGTATCTGTATCTTACAGTATGTAATAACAATTAATGATTTTTCATTTAAAAAATACAAAGTGTCCCTATCCACTTATTCATTGAATATCTCTTATATTCCGGGGGTTGTACAAGGTGGATAGTATATTTATATACACCTTGTATATAGTATATAGACATATAGATCTTAGTATATAGATCCCCTGCCCTTGAGTGTTTACAGTCTATGAAATATCTCTCAAATGAAGTGATTGAGGAATGCCCTTGAAGTATTAGTTAAAAATAGGAGATCTCCATTCTCAACTTTATAGAATTCAATTCCGTAGGACCATATAGCCTCCTAGGAGTTGGGAGACTTTAATAAAGGGAAAGCAATTTTTCTTAAGTAACTCCACAATGCATTATAAACTAGGATGGAATCTTTTAAGTTTGATAACCGCAACGTCTACATTGTCTGTCTGCAGGCAGAATAAAAAAGGAGAAATTTTTTCAATACTTATGGTAAAAGTGTCATCTTTCTTAAAAAACAAATGTCATGATTTCATTGTTGTATGAGGTTATTATTGTTTATAAGAGCTAATTAGCTGATTTATCCATGTAACATGTAAACTGTTTCTTTCATTTTCACAAAATGGACATCTTTAGATAGTCATCTCTATAGTCAACTCTCTATAGTCAATTATTTTCCATTTAAAGAGTATAGAAATTATAAAGTATCTGATGAAATACAGCAAAAATTGATTCTTTTCTCATTTCTACTTGCTGAAGCATATAGCACCATGAAGATTTTGCATTAGCTTTGTAATTGTTAAATTAAATGTGCTAATGAATGGTAAAGCCATTTTATGAGTCACCAAAGAAGCACTACTCAAAATCATGAAAATCTTTCTTCTTAGATAAGAAGCAAGACTACATCGAAAACAGGACATTTGACCAATGAGACTGTAGAAAAGAAGTTCCATGACTGTATTCGTATAAGTATTAAAAATTAATCAAAAAACAGCATGTCATTTTCCTAATATAATTATGTTAAACCTTATTTGTGTGATGCTAACACCTCATATCCAGAAAAAAAAAATTAAGCATTGAATTTGGTTATTAATTACTGATTTAAAACAAATGGTTCTTACTTGTAAGTTGGGGTAATGATCAAAGTGAAAAGAAGAAAAAAAATGGAGAAAGGCAAATGTTATTTAAATAATTTACTTCTATGTAAGCTAGAAGAGAGAATAGAATATGCCCTCTCAAATCCTGAAATTTAAGATCATGTAACAGATTTTAAAAATTGTTGAATGTTAAACCTGGAAGAGACCTTAGTGAAAATTTATTTTTAAAAGTCTCTTTTTATGAATGAGACTAGGAATTAGTGACTTGCCCAAGGTCACAAATCTTGTTAAAAACAGATTCTAGTTAGAAGTGTAAGAGGACCTCAGTCTACAGCAAGCTCAAAATGAATTAGAGAAAGAAAAAATATCTAAAAGAGCTGAGTTTGCAACCACTGATTCTTGATCATTCAGGGACAAAATATGCTTTCTACTTAGATTTAAATTGCAAGGAAATTGACAACTTTCTTCTGTATGTTTTCCCGTTTTCATGATCACTGTCATAGATTACCTTCTCAATTGATATCCTTTTGAAATTCATGATTAGGGTTGTTGGTAAATAACTGGAAAATACTGCTTTTTGCAGCTGGATGAAGAAGCCTCGATGTGGTGTACCTGACCAGACAACACGTAGCTCCAAACTTAATGTTCGTCGAAAGCGATATGCATTAACAGGACAGAAGTGGCAACACAAACACATCACTTACAGGTACAAGAACTGATGATGGATTGCTGTTTTCTCCATTTTTCACCACTATTTATTTTGACACTTTGTTTGACATCTTATGCACATTGACTACATGGTAACATATAGTTACACAATATATATAATGTTAACATAGGGAACTGAGAACTGCCATTGAGAAGAGAATAAATTGCCCATTTGGAGGCCTTTTAAATATTTCTTAAATACTTGGTCTCATTTGTAAACTGTACCTTCAAGCTTCTTGAAAGAATACCAAATCCTGAGGGACTCTGAGATGAGTATTGTAACACGTTACGTTCTTTATTTTTTTTAAGATTTTATTTATTTACTTGAAAGAGAGAGAGTGTGAGAGAGCATGAGAAAGAGAGAGAACACATGCAGGGGGCAGGGGCAGAGGGAGAAGCAGGCTCCCTGCTGAGCAGGGAGCCCAATGTAGGACGCGAACCCAGGACCCTGAGATCAAACACTTAGCCAACTGAGCCACCCAGGTGCCCCATTACATTCTTTAATAAGGATTCATAATCTAAAAGTAATCAAATAATAAAGTTTATAAATAATTGTCATCTAAACAAAATGTCTTTGGATCTACTATTAATTAACTTTTAGTATCAACTCAAGTCATTTTACTTTCTGTCTTATTGGCAGCAATGCAGATGGATCATTGTTTCTTATTTTGACTTCAGTGAAGGATGCCAAAGGGATGCCAATGTCTTCCAACCTGGAAGGACATTTGCTGCTATTGGAGATGTTCCTATTTATTCATTAATTCATTGAACAACTGTGTATTGAGTCTCAGTTTGAACAAAAACAGTTCTAGGCACTGGGGATATAGAAATAAATAAAACATGGAGATTCTGTTTGTCCTCTTGGAATTTACAATTATGTGGTTAAGTTGAAGAATCATATAAATGTGATGACTGTTATGAAAGGGGAGGAACAAGATGCAAGAGAAATGTAAAACAGGGCCATCAAACCCACTCTAGAAAACCAGGGAAAGGCTTCCTGAAGAAATGACCTTTCAGCCAAGACTCACAGAAAGAGAAAGCATGTGTTAGACCAAAGGGCAAGGGAAGGGGCAGGGCACATCAGGGGAAGGGTAAGATGTCAGGAATACATGAATAAAAGACATTTATAATTCTCATTCTTTGTATAACTAACCCTTCACATATGCTTAAGGATAAAATTTAAAACTCAATATATAGATTTTCTACCAATATATCTGGTTTGTGCCATTTGAACTTATTTTAGTTATTTTGAGAACACTTTTCCTTTTTTTTTAATAAAGATTTTATTTATTTGACAGAGAGAGACACAGTGAGAGAAGGAACACAAGCAGGGGGAGTGGGAGAGGGAGAAGCAGGCTCCCCACCGAGCAGGGAGCCCCAACGTGGAGCTCCATCCCAGGACCCTGGGAGCGTGACCTGAGCCGAAGGCAGACGCTTAATGACTGAGCCACCCAGGCGCCCCTTGAGAACACTTTTCAGTGTTGTTTTATATTCTTAAGCTAATCCTCCCAGATAGCATGCTCCTAGATTTTTTATGCAACTCATTTCAGTTATTTCTGCAGGTAAGAAAAATCAAGGAGGAAGCAGTCTTAAGCCAAGCCCATGTAATGAATGTGAAGTGTTGGAAGAATGCCTTAAAGAACAACAACAAAATACCTGCTACCTCTAAGTCTGTTCAGCAACATTGCACAGCTACTTATAGTTGTAAGGAAATAAAAGATATAAGGACTTGTAAAGAAATAACACTATCATTAGTAAGTTTATATAATTTTCTATATAGAAAACACAGAATAAACTAGATAATTTTCAGAAATAATAAAAGAATATGGCCAACTTTTTAAAAAAATAATATATTTCATGTTTTAGGTTTAGGTAATACAATTTTAGGTATACAGAAAAGTTGAGCAGATAATACAAGTAGTTCCCATATATCACATCCCCCTACCACATATACACACTCATAGTTTCTCCTATTAAGATCTTGCATTAGTGTGATCCATTTGTTAAAATTGTTGAGCCACTGTTGCTATATTTTATTCCTAACTAAAGTCCATAATGACAGTAGGGTTCATAGTTCTCCTAGTCTGTGGCTTGTCTGCTACAGAGCAGAAGCTTTAATTTTAATAAAGTCCAACCTATCAATTATTTTCTTCCTTTATTGTGCTTTTGTTGTTATATCAAAAAAATCATTTCCAAATCTGAGGTCACTTAGTTTTTCTTCTATGTCAGCTTCATATCATTTCATATCATATCACCTGAAAAAAAGGAGTATTTTTTCCTTCCCAATGTGTTTATCTTTTATTTTCTTTTCTTGGCTTATTACATAAGGGAGAGCTGTCAGTAAAATGTTGAATAGGAGTGTTGAAGGCAAACATCATTGCCTTTTTCCCAATCTTTAGGAGAAAAGCATCTAGTTCCTCACTATTAAGTATGATATAGGCTGTAGGCTTCTTTCTAGATGTTTATCAAGTTGAGGAGGTTCACCCTATTCCTAGTTTGCTGAAAGTTTTTATTATAAATAAGTGTTGGATTTAATGAAATGCTTTTTCTGTACCTATTCATATGATCATATGATCATATGATTTTTCTTCTTTAGCCTTTTAATGTGTTGGATTACATTAATTGATTTTTGGTTGAACCAGCCTCTCATGCCTAGGGTAAATCCTACTTTGTCATGGTGAATCATTTTTTTTATACATTGTTGGATTTGACTTGCTAATTTTTGGTTGAGGATTTTTACGTGTATGTTCATGAGTGATATTGATATGTGGTTTTTCTTTCTTTTAAAGTCTTTATCTGGGTTAGGTAGGAGAGTAATGCTAGCCTCATGGGATGGGTTAGAAAGTGTTCCCTTTACTTCAGTTTTCTGGAAGAGATTGTAGAGAATTGGTATGATTTGTAACTGAAATGTTTAGTAAACCCAATGCAACTATTTGGGCCTGGTTCTTTTTTCTTTGACAGTTATTAATTTTTAATTAAATCTATTTAATAGATATAGTCCTGTTCAGATTATCTATTTCTCTTTGTGTAGGTTTTTACAGATTGTGTTTTTCAAAGGAGTTGGTCCATTAAATCTGTATTAGTCTGCTCAGGCTGCCATCACAAAATATCACAGCCTGGGTAACTTAAACAACAGAAATTTAATTTTCCCAGTTCCAGAGGCTACAAGTCCAAGATTAACATGCTGTCAAGGTTGGTTTTGGTGAGATTTCTCCTTCTGGCTTGTAGATGGCCGCCTTCTCATTGTGTCCACCTCTTACCTTTCCTCTATGCATGTGTGGAGAGAGAGATTTCTGCTGGGTTTTTTTCTTTTCTCTTCTTATAAGAAGTCATACCAAATTAGGACCCCACCCTTATGACTTCATTTAACCTTATTAACTTTCCTTAAAGGCCCTATTTCCAAATATAGTTTCATTGGGGGTTGGGGCTTCAATTTATTTATGCCAGAGAAAACCTTATAGATCATTGGGGAAAAGGACGGGCTCTTTTACTTACTAAGTTCTTCTGTAGTAATTAGTTATCCATATAGAAAACAATGAAATTAGATTCTTACCCCATAACATATAAAAAATTAGTAAGTATTAATTAGATTAATTTGTATAATCAACTTTAGAAGTACAAAACACACAGCTCTGCATGTTGATATTTATTGTTTTCATTTCAGATAGTGTCTTTTTTCTGGCCTGATTTCCAGACTTAACGGTGTACCCTGTTTAGTGTCTCTGCGTACTTAGGTACTGACTACACCATTCATTTAAGAAAGAAAGAAAGTAAGAAAGAAACTGTTAAGAGCCATTATGTTCAGAACTAATCATAATTCCATTGAAGCTCTGTCCCTATACTGACAATTGTCTCAGCGAGTTTTGAATACTCAAATAATGAGGTGTCTATCCCTGTAAGCTTCCAGGTTACTGATAAACACATCATGTGGTTAAGAGTCCTATTTTGGAGTAAGAAAGATCTGGATTTGAATCCTGGCTCCGATACTTGCCACCTGTAAGACCAGGATCAAGTTACTTAATCTTCTAAGTCTCATTTTCCCTGTGTGAAAAGTGAGTATTGTAACACTACCTATCTCATAAAGCCTAGGAGGTAGTTAAGTCAGGTCATGGTGGGGGGAACCCCCCCAGAAACAAACAAAATAGCTCAGCACAGTGCTTGAAACATAGTGCTTAGTAAATGCCAACTATCATCTTAACTTGTTTTAATTTATGAGACAATTAATGGAAATTGTTGAGAATATTCTAACAGAATTATAGAAAATTGAGGGTGAGAACTAAGGATATTAAATTTTAAAGTTAGTGTATGTAAAGTGTTAAAAACTTGCCATGTGTAAAATAAGTACTATATAAGCCTTTGCTGCTACTTTTATTACTATATTTAGAAAAACAAAAACAAAATACTACATTTCAGCTAAAAAAAAAATTACTCATTAAAAGGATAGCAGAAATGTGCCGTTACAGAATGAAGCCATGAGTCGGAGTGGGGGTGGTTGAATCTAGGTTTTATTTGATGGCAAACTCATTATGAGCCAACGGTACAGTGTGGCTAAATAAGAACTAAAATGAACAGCTTAGATTGATAGAAAGCAGAGTGTCCAAAGCAGTGATGATGGCAATTTTTTCTCTTTGCTTTGTTGGCCAAGCTTTACCTGATGTTTCCTTTTCTCTTTGGTCTACCACATTTCCAACAACTTCTTGGCAAATTAAAGTGCACCTCTAAAAAAGAAATCAAAATGCTAAGAGATCTTACAAACAGTCTGCATGAGAAAGGGCTCAATATTAGAGCCAAGGATTCTCAATATGATGGAAAAAATATTTAAGGGCGAAATTTTCAGTTATTCTCAAATACTTAACGGCTTTCAGAAGAACCTAATATTTTGAGATTTTGGAAAATTAAATCATTCACCCTACAGGTCTTCATTGTTGGAAGCATATAAACCAAGCAATTTATTCACTTGTCAAGGAAATTAGAGACCATTTGTGGAATGGTTGGAAA